GCCTAAATAAATAAATATTTTTAGCAAAAACAGTTTTTAGTGTTTTTCTCAAAATGTTTCAAATGTGACTTAGGTACGATGTTGAATTGACCCCTTCAATTATAGAGCACAAACTGCTCCGTCTAATCGAATTTCATCTAAGGGCAACCGAGCATCACGCCACTTAAAGTGTTCACACATTGGACATATCACCAGTCCCAATGCGTGCTTTATTTAGAATTCAATGATGATACGTTAGAAGTGAGGTGACCCTATAATTGGGTCAGAAGAACACCGATTTTTATCATAATGTGAAGTGTTTGGTATGTGATAGGAAGCTACATGTATCTAATTTCTGAGAAATAACGTTTTCCATTGATATCAAATACGATGTAGTCAGGCGATTATAGGTACATGAATCGAATCGGTGAAAATTAAAAACATTTGAAAATGAAAAATGACTTTTTACTCATTTATAGGGTTTACAAAATAAAATTTTGCACACTTTTCTAATAACTTTAATAATTGAATTAAATCTATATTTTTTTTAAATTCTTTTTTTTTTTTGTAAAAAAGTATTTTGAAACCAAATATATCAAATATAGCTCACGAAACAATTGCGGCAGCAGTGCGTGAACTTCCCTCGCCGGACTCTTGCCAAGGGAGCTGGATATTCTAAGAAATAAAGCTTTCCATTTATACTAAAACGATGTGGTCGGGCGATTCTGGGTACATGAATTGATGAGTGTATTGATCGCTTTCATTCTGAACCCCAGATCAGATCGTCAGCGATCAAGGAAGAAGCATATATGTTTGGGGGTGTTCATAATTCCGAGGGTTGACTATCAGCAAGCGAAGAAGAGTTATTGGTGACCGTCCCAAAATTAACCTCTTTCTATGATGAGTTATCAAAATATCAACTTTTAAGAGAAATACCAAGGCCTTGAAGACACCGAAAGACAGCTGATATTAATTTTTACAACTTCAGGTACTATTCAGTGTTTGATGTTTTGAAATGCAAAGCTCAATGGGACTTCCTAGAATTTCTTCAATACTATCGCTAAGCCTTCAATTGTTTCATGTGGATAGAGCTTTTCAAAACTAAGGCTTATCAAGACCTTTATACGATCCGCCATGAGACAGTCGATGATTTCTAATCCGTCTCTACTCTCAACTGAAAGTGATACAGTGAATGGTGTTGATAATGCCGTCTCTACTCTCAACTGAAAGTGATACAGTGAATGGTGTTGATAATGATCAAATCATTGACAGGTTTGAAACTTTGAAGAACAGGAAAGGAACATTTTTAATAAATTCAATTTTATGAAAAATTACTATACCTAACGTTGTTATAGTTTTTAAATACGTTAGCTTCTTTAGCTCTAGACCTAGAAGAAATCCATCATGGAAGTCGGGGGCGGGGGGGGGGGGGGTAACACCATGATTTTACAGCCCCGGGTGACAACTAACCCCAGCTAATAAATACACCGACTTCTTTAGCTCTAGACCTAGAAGAAATCCATCATGGAAGTCGGGGGCGGGGGGGGGGGTGACACCATGATTTTACCGCACCGGGTGACAACTAACCCCAGCTAATAAAGACACCGGTGACGCCATTCGTTAAAACCCACACCTTTTCATAGCGCTGCCCTATATAATTAATACAGATGAGAATCCTACTGTTACTGTTCAGCTTAACAACTGGAGGAAATAAACAAACCTCCAGGATGGTCGTCAAGGGGCCACACGTGGCAGGAGTTCCCATTCAAGAGTTTATAAACATATATAATGCGGGGGATCCTTAACTATAATTTTATTAAGTTTGCGGGGATCCTTAATTATAATTTTATGTCGTTTATTTCATTAGTTTAAGCATCATGGTCACGTTTTGGTATAGATACATTGAATAAACACATACTAATTATTAAACTTGTTTTGAGACTAGCGAAACAATTCTTTTTTTTATGTTTTTATGTTTTATAATTTACTGACACCCTCCATGCGCCAAAGCAGATCAACAACAAACATTTAATGCATATATATATATTAATTAGTATGTGCTCACTTTTAGTTTTAGAGTGAGACGAAAATGTGTCTACGTCTTTGAGATAGTGGGGGCCAAGCATAAACTAAACGATTTGTCCGTAAATGCCGGTTTGTATCAAATTTGTCCCCAATATATTATATTAATTTGTACTTTTCCTCCTCTTGGGAGAAGGCATTTTTTTACCTCGGCACACCAAGCATCGTCTCGCGTCACACGATTGTGGCGCGGCGCACACCGGTTGAGGAGCACCGACCCAGATAATTAATGAACACATATTTGCAACATGCATCCAGCAAACAGGATACACAGATTACAAGCCGGCTTTTCACGCAAAGTTGATCCGCGTTGTGCGCCCCCCCCCCCCCCCCCGTTCTTTGGCTTTTAAATGACGTGGAGCGTATGACGTACCTAGGTAGAAATTTCCGATCCACGATGGCGTGTGGGCGGTAGTGGTTGGCAATTAAACTTTGCCCAAGAGCGGCCCACTCGGTCTAGTCTACTGTGCTCACCGTGGACCGGCCTTGGAGAAATGGTTTATTTTAACGATGCGAGCAAAATCTGGTAGGCCGAAACGTGAGGATTGATTTTACATGTTGGCTCGATCGGGTCAAAGAGCAGTTGAGTAGAAGAGGGAAGGTGCGACCCTCTGCCTCACATGGTCCATTGTGCGCTTTTAAGTTAGGATAAATGATGCAAGTAGGAAAACTAAGATGATAATTTCGTGTGGAACAGACTTTTCAGCCCAACAAAGACAGCAATTCGTGTAGATAAGTAGAAACATCATTTCCCCTCTCTCTTCCCCCCTCCCCCCCCCCAACTGGATTAAAAGAGACATTTAACTTGTGAGAAAACTCGTCTGCTAGCCCGTCACCGAAAAAATGGCCACCAAAGTATCCAAAGATCGATGGTGGAAACATTTCTTCTACTCATCAATCGCCAAAGCAGGAGCTTCCCGCCTAAGTTGCTGGCATCCCAGGGGTTGCGAGGAACAAATAGTATTGTTTTTTTTTTTTAATTTTTTATTTTTTGTTGTTGTTGTAAATCAGCTTTAAATTGCATTGTTACCTTTGCAGGCGGTGCAAGATTTAAAAAAAAACTACAATTCGTAGGTCGTAAAAAAAAGGGGGGGGGGCATCATAAACAAAATGTTGCGAATTAAACACGGGTTTTCTCAGACCAACTTCAAAAAGCCCCATGATGATCACCTGTTGCTAATACAATAATTATAACTATGACATTACTACTGGGGGGGGGGGGGGTTAG